ACTTGCCCTGGTCCGAGTATCCCAGCCAGGGGCGGGAGGAGAGGGCCAGCATGGAGCGCTCGCCGCGCACCGCCGCCGCAAACAGCTTGGGCGGCTTGGTGCCCAGGAAGCGGGTGCGCGTGTCGCTGCGGGGGTGGGGGGTGGGGGTGGGGCAGGGAGGGAGGGAGGGAGGGAGGGAGCAGTTGGGAAGGGTGAGATGGTGGTGGCGGTTTGTGTGAGTAGAAGGGTGCAGGACCGGAGGCGCAGGCATGGGAGAGGGGTCGGTGCGCCACGCATGCAGCAGCAGGAGGGATGCGCCACGATGCGCACCAGGCCCCTCCCTGCCCCCGCCCCCACCTGAGCTGCCCCGTCACCCGGTCCACCTCTGTGCGCAGCAGCACGCCGTTGACCAGGCCAACCTGCGGGGGTGGGCAGGCAGCAGGGCGGGGCCAGGCGGGCGTGGGGCAGGTCTAGGCAGGGCGCACATGGGGTGCGTCGGTGGCGGTGATGGCAGGCAGCAGGCAGCGTTGTGCGGCGGGCTCCCGGCAGCAGCAGCAGGCCAAAGGGTGCTGACACAGGGCGCTCCCACCTGCAGGAAGAGCGCCCCCGAGCCTGCGCCCTCCTCCGTCCCGTCCTTGCCCATCAGCGGAGAGTCCAGCAGCAGCACGCTCTCCGGGGTGGCGCCCACAGCCTGCGGGGAGGGGTGGCAGGGCACGGGGAAGAGTGTGTGTGGGTGGCAAGCAGGTGCGCCGCGGCGGGGGCACAGCAGCAGCAGGCCCTGCCCTGCCTGCCCAGCCCAGCTCCTCGCCCTCCCACCCCTTGCCACGCCCACCTGCGTGGACAGCACTTTGAGCGTGGAGTCGGGCTGCAGCGACAGCACGCGTGCCGCGCCGTCGTACATGCCCACCGCCAGGAAGGCGCAGCGCGTGCGCCCCTCGGGCACGGGCGCCACGTCCAGGCACGCCACGTCGCCACCCATCTCCCGCTTCTCGCTCTCCACAAGCATGCCCTGTGCGGGGTGGGGCCAGGCCAGCCGGGGAGGTCGGCATGAGGGGGCAGCAGGCGGGGAGGCAGGCAGGCAGGAGGGCGGGAGGCGGGCAGGCACCCCACCAGCATGCACACCCCACACACCCCTCCACACCATGCACCCCGCCCGCACCCACAGCCTCCCACCCCAGCCAGGCCCCCCACGCCCCGCCCCAGCCCACCCTCCTGCTCCTGCTGCTGCTGCTGCAGATGTGTGTACCCGCCCACCTGCGGGTTGAGCTCAAAGTAGATGACCTCCCCCCCTCCCAGAGCGATGGCCACCTGCCGCTCGTTGGTGGTGGCCTTGACGATGGTCTTGCGCCCGGGGGCGCGCCACTCGTTGATGCGGCGGTCGGGGCGGATGTGGCGCAGGCCGTTGGGGTACACCTGCGGTACCACGGTACCGTGGGGAGGTGGGGCAGGGTGGCCATGCAGACGGTGGGATGGATGAGGAGAGGGGTGGGGGGTGCCCAGGGCAGCACCCTCAGCTGGACTGCGCGACTGGCTGCCAGGACAGCACGCTCAGCGAGTGGGGTGGCTGCCAGCCAGCCAGCCACCCGACTGCCCCACCACCCGCGCCCACCTGCAGCATGCTGTCATCCGCCAGCAGCTGGGTCTGCAGTGTGGGCACGTTGCCGTTGAAGCCGCTGTCGTTCACCTCCTCCACAGTCTCGCCGATGCTGCAGCCGGGGGGGGCAGGAA